TGGACTTAAGCCTTGTCTTACGCTCCATTACTGCTAAGGCTTGTAAAGACGGTCCAATAGAATGGTTAGGCCCGCCGCTCAGCCATTCACACTAAATGTAAGCTAACGACTAAAGTGTATTATCTCTCTTAACATACTAGAATTTATTTAATGGTAAAACGGTATATTTCCTGATGTGTATTAACCGTTGCACCCTTGAGCAGTACGAAGGTGGCTTGGTCTGAGGAATCACGTTTTCTTTCACATCATGTATAGCTTAGGGTTGGGGTTAGAAATGGCTTGAATGTCAGAACGGTCTCGTTGATCCCTGGAGATCTCGTAACCCCTCTCTTAAAAAGTTTTCTTTCTTCTCCTAGGTTCATAATTCTTATTCAAGGATTGATTATTTTTTCATAGACAGCACTCTAGATTCTTGCGTAGTTTCTTCTGATTAATTGGGTATTGTAATTTCTGACCATGCGCCTCTACAATTAGATATTCATCTTTCAATTTATAAACGTAGCCGACCGCCTTGGAGATTTAATTCTCTTCTTTTAGCAGACAGTGAATTCTGCGAGTTCATTTCTAGTTCTATCGATGACTTTCTTTTCTTCTATCAGAATGACTCCACCTCTTATTCACTGTTATGGGAGACACTTAAATCCTATATCAGCGGGCAGATTATTTCTTATTCTTCTCGCTGTAATAAAAAACGCACTGCTAGGGTTAATAAACTAGCTTCTGCAATCAGTAGTCTTGATCAAAGATGTGCATTAAACCCCTCCCCAGAACTTCTTAAACAGCGCCTTGACTTACAGGCAGAGTTTAATTTTATTTCGACTAAAGAAGCAGAACACTTACTGTTACGTACTCATGGTTCATATTTTGAACATGGCGATAAGCCGAGTCGTCTACTGGCACATCAGCTACGGCGACAGGCCACTTCCCGTCTCATACCTGGTATTAAAAACACTTATAATATTGTCACTACAGATCCCATGGAAATTAATGCTACTTTTAAATCTTTTTACTCTTCACTTTATAAGTCAGAATCTCCAACAGATAATACTAAAGTGAACGCATTTCTTCAAAACCTCTGTAATCCTGTTATAGATACGAATACTGCTATGCGATTGGATTCCCCACTCTCTCTTGAAGAAATTTTAAATTCAGTTAAATCTATGCAATCTAACAAAGCTCCTGGCCCGGACGGGTTTCCAATCGAATTCTTTAAAGCGTTTATTGGAAAATTAGCTCCATTGCTTTTGGCTATGTTCAACGAATCTTTGGAACGTGGGTCTTTGCCTCCAACTCTGACACAAGCCACGATAGCTCTGCTCCTAAAGGAGAGTAAGGATCCATCCTCCTGTGGTTCTTATAGACCGCTATCACTGCTGAATGCAGATGTAAAGGTGTTGGCGAAAGTAATGACATCTCGGTTAGAGAATGTACTTCCTTATATTATATCTGAAGATCAGAACGGTTTTATAAAGGGACGTCAAATGTTTTTCAATACCCGTACACTCTTTAATATAATTTATTCAAAGAATTCGGCTGTGCTTCCTGAGATTGTGATTTCATAAGATGCTGAAAAAGCATTCGACACGGTCGAATGGGAGTGTTTGTTTGCAGTCCTGAGGAAGTTTGGATTTGGGGACAAGTTTATTTTCTGGATTAGCCTCCTTTACTCAACCCCTTATGCTAGAGTTCAGACTAACGATACGTATTCTGATTATTTTGCGCTCGGACGAGGGTGCCGCCAAGGGTGTCCTTTATCCCCACTGCTTTTTGCTGTTGCCATCGAGCCGCTCGATTGTATTAAAATCTTCCTCCTTGTTTAAAGGAATAGTTTGATATGGTGTAGAATACAAATTGTCGCTATATGCTGATGATTTGTTATTGTATGTAACTGATCCTATCTCCTCTATGCCTTCTGTTTTGGATGTTCGGGAGTCTTTTGGTATTGTCTCTGGTTATAAACTAAATTTAGATAAAAGCGACTGTTTTCCTGTCAATACTCCAGCTCTGTCTCTCCAACATTCAGATCTACCGTTTCGATTTAGTCAGTCAGGTTTTAAATACCTAGGTATCAACGTGACATGTTCTCTATCTAATCTTCTATCAGCTATCTTTACTCCCCTTATCTCAAAGGTTACATCTAACATTCAGAGTTGGGGTAACTTACCACTTTCCCTAATTGGCAAGATCAGCGCTGTCAAAATGAATATTTTACCGAAGTTTCTTTTCTTGTTCCAACAAGTACCTCTTTCTCGCCCAAAATCATTCTTTGATTCATTGGATAAGATAATTAGTACATTTATTTGTGGAGGGAAGCCACCAAGGGTTAGTAAATCTTTATTGCAGAAATGTGAACTTATGGGAGGACTTGCATTACCCAATTTTCAATTCTATTACTGGGCTGCACACATCCATAAACTTTGTTACTGGGTTCAATCTCCTGGATCTTCTTGGTCTAAATTGGAATTATCTTCTTGTAGGGAATCCTCTTTACCTGCTCTACTTTACACCTCTTTACCTGCAAAACTTTCCCTATATACTGATAACTCTGTTGTCCTCAGCACACTTAGGACTTGGTATCAATTTAGACTACATTTTAAATTAGTAGGTGCATCCTCTTTGTGTCCTTTAGTGAACAACCATCTATTTCCCCCATCGTGTATGGACTCCTCATTTTCAGTGTGGTATGACAAGGGTATTAAACAAGTTAGAAATTTGTATTCTGATGGTGTGTTTGATAGCTTTGCCAATTTGGCATCCACTTACGATCTCCCCTTGACACATTTCTTTCGGTACTTTCAAATACGGAATTTCGTTTCTAGATGTTTTCCTGATTTCCCTTCTGCTTCTTCAGAACAGGGCTGGGAAGACCTGTTTTGAAATAACCCGCATCAGAGAGGAATGATTTCTAAGATTTATGATTTTATTTTGACGCAAGGTAGTGGGTCGAGTAATAAAATTAGGAATGCGTGGGAAACAGAATTAGGAGTACAAATAAGTGAGGAGTGTTGGGAACAAGCTATAGGGAGGGTACATACTACCACTTCTTGTGCTCGTCTTGGACTTATACAGTTCAAAGTTTTAAATAGAGGCAATTTGTCCAAGTCGAGATTGTCTGTGATGTATCCGGATGTTGAGGACAAGTGTGATAAATGCCATGGCTCTCCCTGTCATCTTGGCCATATGTTTTTCTTCTGCCCTGAACTCCATGGTTTTTGGTCTGGCTTTTTTACCATCATGTCCACTATTCTCAGGGTACATTTAAAGCCTTGTCCATTGAATGCGATATTTGGGATCCCTCAAGCTTCAATTCTTTTGAGTTCGATACACAAGGATGTTATTGCTTTCACATCCCTTATAGCAAGACGTTCCCTACTGTTACATTGGAAGTCTGCTAAATACCCATCTATCTCCCAGTGGATAAAGGACGTGATGTTTTTTCTGAAACTTTCTGAAACGCGTGACAGGCGGAGATACTGTCCACTATACTAATGAGGAAATCCTACTTATGCTCGTGAAGACGGTTGGCACTTTGGATAGCATCAAAACATAAACGATGAAACCATAAATGATACAAGAAATTGCACTTAAGCCTTGTCCCGTGCCCCATACCCGTGATGGCCAACAGAATATGGCACTGGACTTGAACTGCACTGGGGTTTGACCTGTGCAAGTTGAAGCCTGCTATGAACCTGAGTCTTAATGCAGAGAATCTCTATGAAGATGAGCAACAAAGCACCTTGGCATTCATCAAACAAGCTCATGCCAAACACATCTTCCATCCTGGGAAATTGCATTGACGTAAAGGAAGTCAAACGAACCCTGCTTTGAGACAATGTCCACTGTAAAAAGCGCTACACAAATAAAATTGATTTGAACTGAATCGAATGTGTACATGTAAACGTGTAAATGGTCTAGGTACTTAATTGAAGTAAATGTATTGAAGAGGGGCAGAAACATGAGAATATAAAGATGCACAAACACGTTTATTGGCTCCAGAAAAAATAGTCTAGTGTTTCCTTAAATCACTTTGCCGCTTTGCTTGTGAAGAGCAAAATTCGTATAGAAAATCGATCTCGTTTGCTAGCTCACTTATCAAAGATAACTATAAAATACTTTATATTAATAAATACTATTAGTAACCAATAATTGATTAAATGGTCTTGTGCCGCAGTATCTAAGCGACCTTTTGGTTTTCTATGATCCGCCACGCCTACTTAGTTCAAAAGATGCAGGCTATTTGACCGTACCTCGAATAGAGAAGGCTACAGCAGGAGGATGAGCTTTCTCTTCTGGAGCCCCACACTTATGGAACAGTCTTCCAATTAGAGTTCGGGACTCAGGCACAGTCTCGGTGTCTAGGCTTTAATCGTATTTGTTTAATCAAGCCTACCCTGACTAGACTTTCTCTTATGCTAAGCACAGTCCTAGTATTTTTTTCTCTCCCTCTCTCATTCTGTCGAGCCACACCCGATTTTATGGAGATACTAGAGATCCTGATCCTCTCTGTTCTCTGGACCTATCTGATCCGTTTCAGATGGCCTACCTCTCTCATCTACAGCCTCATCAAATCCAATTCCAGACTGCTGGGACTACAGCTGCTTCTAAGGCCAAAGAGACTCCATATGAATCTATAATCAGCTTTTTCACACTATCTGATGTTACCCAGATGAGGATAGGTTCCCTTCTGATTCTGGTTCCTCTCAAGGTTTGTTCCTCTTAACATCTTAGGGAGTTTTTCCTTGCCACCGTCACCACTTAGTGGCTTGCTCAGTTGGGATAAATTCGCACCTTATATATCTATATACCGAATGGATTTATAGATATATATGGATTAAGCTTTGCTTTACCTACCATAGCTCAGTTGGTAGAGCAGAGGACTGTAGGTACTTAAACTGGTCATCCTCATGTCGCTGGTCCAAATCCGGCTTGAAGGATGGCTTTCTCTGTGTGACATGGCTTCTTTTTAAATGTTAATTTGGCCAGCGGTGGATAAAACACGATTCCCTGACCGGGAATCGAACCTGGGCCACGGCGGTGAGCGCACCGAATGCTTACCACTAGACAACCAGGGATGAAAACCGAGAAAATGGTGGCCTCTACACTGGCTATGCTGGCCAGTGTCTTCCATCAAAAGCTCAAACAAAGGGCACATGAGCATCAGCACAGGACCATGGAGAAGGAGGAATCACGTTTTCTTTCACATCATGTACAGCTTAGGGTTGGGGTTAGAAATGGCTTGAAAAGACGCTTGGCCAAGGAGTTGCAATTAAGCCTTGTCTTGACTAATACAGTTCAAAGTTTTAAATAGAGTCCATTTGTCCAAGTCGAGATTGTCTGTGATGTATCCGGATGTTGAGGACAAGTGTGATAAATGCCATGGCTCTCCCTGTCATCTTGGCCATATGTTTTTCTTCTGCCCTGAACTCCATGGTTTTTGGTCTGGCTTTTTTACCATCATGTCCACTATTCTCAGGGTACATTTAAAGCCTTGTCCATTGAATGCGATATTTGGGATTCCTCAAGCTTCAATTCTTTTGAGTTCGATACACAAGGATGTTATTGCTTTCACATCCCTTATAGCAAGACGTTCCCTACTGTTACATTGGACGTCTGCTAAATACCCATCTATCTCCCAGTGGATAAAGGACGTGATGTTTTTTCTGAAACTTTCTGAAACGCGTGACAGGCGGAGATACTGTCCACTATACTAATGAGGAAATCCTACTTATGCTCGTGAAGACGGTTGGCACTTTGGATAGCATCAAAACATAAACGATAAAACCATAAATGATACAAGAAATTGCACTTAAGCCTTGTCCCGTGCCCCATACCCATGATGGCGAACAGAATATGGCACTGGACTTGAACTGCACTGGGGTTTTACCTGTGCAAGTTGAAGCCTGCTATGAACCTGAGTCTTAATGCAGAGAATCTCTATGAAGATGAGCAACAAAGCACCTTGGCATTCATCAAACAAGCTCATGCCAAACACATCTTCCATCCTGGGAAATTGCATTGACGTAAAGGAAGTCAAACGAACCCTGCTTTGAGACAATGTCCGAATGTGTACATGTAAACTTGTAAATGGTCTAGTTACTTAATTGAAGTAAATGTATTGAAGAGGGGCAGAAACATGAGAATATAAAGATGCACAAACACGTTTATTGGCTCCAGAAAAAATAGTCTAGTGTTTAGTCTCGTCTAAAGTTTGCCACAAGCCTTTTTATGGATATCTTTGAGAAATGGCTTTCTTCTTGCCACTCTTCCATAAAGGCCAGATTGGTGCAGTGTACGACTGATTGTTGTCCTATGGACAGACTCTCCCACCTCAGCTGTAGTTCTCTGCAGTTCATCCAGAGTGATCATGGGCCTCTTGGCTGCATCTCTGATCAGTCTTCTCCTTGTCTGAGCTGAAAGTTTAGAGGGACGGCCAGTTCTTGGTAGATTTGCAGTGGTCTGATACTCCTTCCATTTCAAAATGATCGCTTGCACAGTGCTCCTTGGGATGTTTAAAGCTTGGGAAATCTTTTTGTATCCAAATCCGGCTTTAAACTTCTCCACAACAGTATTACGGACCTGCCTGGTCTTCATAATGCTCTCTGCGGTTTCAATAGAACACTGAGACTATCACAGAGCAGGTGCATTTATACAGAGACTTGATTACACACCGGTGGATTCTATTTATCACCATCAGTCATTTAGGGTTAGGGTTAGGGTTAGGGTTTAGGGTTAGGGTTAGGGTTAGGGGTTAGGGGTTACAATGACCCCCCCCCCCCGGACAGTCCGCCAGGTACTGCCCAGTTAGATAGGGGGTCAAGGGAATGCACTGGCCGGCGCTTGTTAAGCATTGCTACAGCTCAGAAAATTATTTGTCCTACAAGTTGCCCCCAGTTGGGCTTTGGTTGTAGTTTTTTGCACCATTTACTTATTTGTTTATTTTTCTTTTTTTCGTACATGTTTAGTGGGTCAGGAGGGGAAACAAAATTTTAGGAACAGGGTCAAGTTGGATATTGAGTCTAAGGTCGGATCATATTAGCCTATTGATCGATTCGTCGGTTTGACTCCAAGTTTTGACTTTGATTCATTTAAGTATTTTGGTTAATCTTGCCGATGTCATGAGCCTCCGGGGAGTATATGGAGATGTCGGGGTTTGAGGGATGGGTCTAAGATATGGGTCCTAAGATTAGAGGTGTGGTTAGGTTTTGAAATGAGGAATAAGAGTATGATTAGGGTTTGTTTTTTTTGTTTTTTTTTGGGATGAGGAGTATGTTAATGGTACGGGCCAGGGGTTTCTTAAGGGATAGGGTGAAGTGATAGTTTATTAGTTTTTTTCTGTAGTAGTACTGTTGATTTAGAATTTAGGGTATTGATGTTTAAGGGTCAGAGGTAAGATCAGTTTGGGTTGTAGTTAGGGTTAGGGTTAGAGGTTAGGGTTAGGTTTTGGTAAGAATACAATGATCCCAAGTCATTCTTCCTGAGTAAGGTTTTTCTTGACCTGCTTAGAGCAGTAGTTCGGGCTAAACTTTTATGGATTAGGATCAGGTTAATTATTTCTTTATTTATTTTGTGTGTTTATAAATACTGGGTAGAAGGTTGAGTCTCATTAGCCTATTGATTAGCTCGTCGGATTGACTTCTGGTTTTGGCTTTGATTCGTTTAGGTGATGTGGCTGTGCTTCCTGATGTCGCGAATCCTAGGGAGTATTTGGAGAGATTGAGAAATGGGTCCAAGTTGTGGGTACTTGAGACTGGAGTTGTGGTTAGGCCTCAGGAATAAGGGTATGCGAATTATTAGGGACAGGGTGAAGTGGTGATTTATTTGTTTTATCAGTGTACAGCCATAATTTGGGATTGGTTATGTTTTATGGTTAGGTTTTAGGTTGACTTTTTAGGGGTCGGAGGCACAGTTAGAGTAACGGTTATGATTAGGGTTTAGGTTAGGTTTTAGGGCTCAGAGCTAGGGTTAGGTTAGGGTTAGGGTTAGGGGGTTAGGGTTAGGGTTAGGGTTAGGGTTTAGGGTTAGGGTTTAGGGTTAGGTTTTTGTAAGAATACAATGATCCCCCCCATCACAAATTCATTGCATGGTTGAATAGGGGACCAAGGAAAGTGCACGGGCCGGCGCTTGTTAAGCGTAGCTATTGTTCCTGTAGCAGACCCCGGCTTGGCGTCTGCTGATTTAACAAATCCAATCGAGTCTAACCCGATTAGGTTTTATAGTTGGTGGGTCACGAGCTATTTCCCCAATGGGCTGTGGAGATGGTATTCAGTTGGAGGTGGTTCTCGGATGTCTACGGTTAAGATTATCGTACCGTTTGAGGTTTCGCTGTTGACATTTGGCTGTAGCCCTCCCCGAAGTTGGGCTTTCTTCTTTTATTCCCAGCTGGGTGTGGAAGTTATTTTGGTTTAAGTCATTCTTCCTGAGTAAGGTTTTTCTTGACCTGCTTAGAGCAGTAGTTCGGGCTAAACTTTTATGGATTAGGATCAGGTTAATTATTTCTTTATTTATTTTGTGTGTGTATAAATACTGGGTAGAAGGTTGAGTCTCATTAGCTTATTGATTAGCTCGTCAGATTGACTTCTGGTTTTGGCTTTGATTCGTTTAGGTGATGTGGCTGTGCTTCCTGATTTCGCGAAACCTAGGGAGTATTTGGAGAGATTGAGAAATGGGTCCAAGTTGTGGGTACTTGAGACTGGAGTTGTGGTTAGGCCTCAGGAATAAGGGTATGCGAATTATTAGGGACAGGGTGAAGTGGTGATTTATTTGCTTTATCTGTGTACAGCCATAATTTGGGATTGGATATGTTTTATGGTTAGGTTTTAGATTGACTTTTAGGTGTAGGAGGCACAGTTAGAGTAACGGTTATGATTAGGGTTTAGGTTAGGTTTTAGGGTTCAGAGCTAGGGTTATGGTTAGGGTCTAGGTTAGGGTTAGGTTTTAGGGTTAGGTTTTGGATTGAATTTTAGGGGTCGGAGGCACAGTTAGAGTGACGGTTATGATTAGGGTTTAGGTTAGGTTTTAGGGTTCAAAGCTAGGGTTATGGTTAGGGTCTAGGTTAGGGTTAGGGTTAGGGTTAATGTTTAGGGTAAGGGTTAGGGTTAGGTTTTTGAATGTACAATGACCCCCCGCGGACAGTCCGCCAGGAACTGCCCAGTTAGATAGGGGGTCAAGGGAATGCACTGGCCGGCGCTTGTCAAGTTGCCCCCAGTTGGGCTTTGGTTGTAGTTTTTTGCACCATTTACTAGTTTGTTTGTTTATTTATTTTTATTTTTTATTATAAATTTTTTTATTTATTTGTTTATTTATTTATTTATTTATTTATTTATTATTGTTATTATTTATTTATTTATTTTTCCGTACATGTTTAGTGGGTCAGGGTGGCGTGGGGAGGGGAAACAATTTTAAGGACAGGGTCAAGTTGGATATTGACTCTAAGGTCGGATCATATTAGCCTGTTGATCAATTCATCGGATTGACTTCAAGTTTTGACTTTGATTCGTTTAGGATTAGGGATGTACGAATGGTTAAGGTCAGGATTGTTGAAGGCGGGGTGAGTTTTTGTATTAATTTTTCTGGAAGTAACCCTGAAAAGGCTTGAAAAGATGCTTGGCCAAGGAGTTGCACTTAAGCCTTGTCTTACACTCCATTCCTGGTAAGGCTTGTAAAGACGCTTGGCCAAGGAGTTGCACTTAAGCCCTGTCTTACGCTCCATTCCTGCTAAGGCTTGTAAAGACGGTCCAATAGAACGGTTAGGCCCGCCGCTCAACCATTCACACTAAATGTAAGCTAACGACTAAAGTGTATTATCTCTCTTAACATACTAGAAATGTATTTAATGGTAAAACGGGATATTTCCTGGAATTCCTGACTGCTACCGCTGGTGAGTGGAGTAGCTCCTTTGAGTTAAATGTTTTGTAACTGTGTTTGGCTTGGTCTGAGGAATCACGTTTTCTTTCACATCATGTACAGCTTAGGGTTGGGGTTAAAAATGGCTTGAAAAGGCTAGAAAAGACGCTTGGCCAAGGAGTTGCACTTAAGCCTTGTCTTACGCTCTATTCCTGGTAAGGCTTGTAAA